AGTCCTGTTTTACTGAATATATTTCTTCTTCAAAATAATACCATTTCTTTCAATTATATATTCTGTTTAACTGTCAATCAGTTATTTTGTTATACAGGGTATTTGAACAATCCATCGGCAACAAAGCAAACTATTGATTAAGAAGGTTGGTTGCACACAGGGGATATTGGATATTTCAATGAAGAAGGACAGTTATTTGTTGTTGATAGAATAAAAGAGCTTATCAAGTGTTATGGTTACCAACTACCATTAAATATTGATCTAGTGATTTTATATTTCAATAACTTTAATATCTAAAATAGAAATTGATATAATATAATAAAGTATTTTTAATCTTGCATGTAACTTTTAGAATTGCATTCAACTTTTATTCTGAGAAACATTTCAAATGAAAACGTTTTTTGTTGTTCATAAATTGAATGGTACCAGCAGAGCTTGAAGGGCTTCTTCTTTCACATTCAGAAATAATAGATGCTGCTATCGTTCCGCAAGTTAATATATAATCTTATAATGAGTGTGTTTGGATTTGCTGTAACTTAAGAATTAATCGTTTAATTATTAAGCTACAACAACAGAATTGCTTGATAATAATCATCTACCTTAGCTCGAGAGATTGTAACACATATTTACGCATCGTGCTTCTTTCACATCCTTCTCCATACTGAGCGTTGCAACACATAGTTAAAGCTTCTCCATATGCTTCTTGTAGATTTCATGATGCTAAAGCTGGTGAGGTCCCAATTGCATATGTTGTTCTCTCCCCCAAGAGCTCATTGACTGAAGATGATGTTAAGAAATTCGTGGCTATGCAGGTATCTTTTATATCAAAAAATTCGCTTCTTTTCTTGATAATATAGTTGTCTTAACGCTATTTTTGCTGTACAGGTTGCTCCATTCAAAAGATTACGCAGAGTCAGTTTCATAAACAGTCTCCCGATATCAGCTTCAGGCAAGATTTTGAGAAGACAACTCATTAATAAGAAAGTTCAATCCAAGATATAAGATACAAATTAATCATATCACTTATCACAGTGTATAATGATTTTAAGTACATAACCCATGGTTGTTCCTATGATTTCGGAGGCTGAAGGCATATACACTTAATATTTTGTTATAAGAAAATTGAATCAGTAGTAATAGGAGTCCTGCTCGGGATTGGGGTTACTAATGTGCATTTTTAAATGGTGATTTTTTGTTGGTTTGCTTTATTTTGGTGATGGCTGTCTTGTGTATGTTTTGGAGATGGTCTTGTATAGGTTTTTGTTTTTGTCCTAACCTAGGGTGTGTATGTTTTGGAGATGGTCTTGTATAAACTTTTATTTCCGTCCTAACTTAGAGTTTGTCATGTGGTAGGAGGTGCATTGGAAGATAGTGTCTTATGTAACTCTTTTGTCTTGGTTAGACTTTTGTTTTTTATCCTATTTCAGGGGTTTGTCTTGTGGTAGGTTGACCGGTTTTATGGGTCTCTTTGTATTTTTTTTTTTTTTTTTTTACCCCCAACACATAGTTATAAGTTTTTGTCTTGGTTAGACTTTTGTTTTTTATCCTACTTAAAATATATATTTGTTTTAATATTCTTAAAATTCAATCATATTTTATTTAACTTAAAAAATTTAGATTTTTTTTAACCCTCTAGGCATGTTAATTTAACTAAACATTCAAACAATAAAAACTTATAAATTGACAAAAACACCTTTATCTATCCACATATTCTTGGCAGTTGGCCACCTTCGTCGGAAGGTGGTTGAAATCTACTAAAATGGATCACGACCGGTTGGATGTAGTCGGTCGTGTGTTGATTTAGCATTTTCCGGTCAGATCTACCATGGATATGGTTGAAAAAGGTCAAAAGATTTGGCCGTTCTGGCCATATATGTTTGTCAACGACGGCTAAGATATGATCATTGTTAACGACCAGATCTTTAATCGTAGATTTAGCCGGAAAAAGGCAAAATCGATGCACTACCAGTCGATCGTACGCCATTCCGGTGACTTTGGACCATCATTTGACGATGGTAGTCGGTTGTCAGCATTTAATGAATGGGTGGAGGTGTTTTTGTTAATTTTAAAACTTTTATTGTAGGGAGTGTTTAGTTAAATTAACAAATGTAGGAAATTAAAAAATAATCTAAATACTTTTAGAAAATATTTTTCAAAAATTTATCAAACACATTTTCAAATTTAAATTATATTCTCGTAATAACAATTCAACTTAACTTTTTCAAAAATACTATTCTAAATACTCTATCAAACACAACCTAATATTTTTTTCCACACTATTATACTTGTAATAAAAAAAAAGAAGATGTTTATTCTTCTAGCAATGTTTTAAAACCCAACTCGGGGTGAAACCTAACAAAGTGGTTGGGTCTCGGGTTGACCGGTTTAATCGAGTTGACCAACGGGTCAAACCGGTGTCTAAAGGCTTGAAATCTAACAAAAATACCCTTGAAAACTAATGTAAGTCTCTATAGGTTTAAAATCTTGAAAAAATATTCCAAACACTACTATTGGTGTGGCAAATAGGTTTTGTTTTCAGCAACGACAATACTCCCCATCACCACGAAAACACTCTCCTAAGCCTCCTGATTGAAACCCATCTCACCCTTCCCCCAATTGCTTTTCCAATCATCGGCAACAACGAGCTTTTTTAGGCGACATTTTTTTCACTCATCGGATATCGACACTGTTGCCACTATTGCACTCACTGGCCATTCCTCTTCAAAAGCCCTAACATTCCAACTTTCAATTGTTCACGCATTGATGTCCTAATTTTTAGGGTTTTCCAGCTCAAACTTACGCCATCTTTTAGAATGGATGATAAATATGGGCATTGATATAGGTATGAAACCCAACTCACTCCATTACATCTCCAGATGTATTTTTGTTATATATGTAATTATAAATTTTGTGAAAACCATACATTATTTGATAAGCAAAATTTTGATGAGTGGAGTTGCTTGTGCTAAAATCGCGGGCCGTTAAAACCAATTGTTACAGTTAGGCATCAAATTTCTAAGCAACACATTCCATTAATGTTCCTTAAGAAAATTGGATGTGTGTTTAGGCTGAAATGATCTGACTCTTAACTTGTGCGGTCCAAAATTCTATAATTATTTTATGGTATGATATTTTAGGACACTTCAATTTCATTATCTTCCAAGTAGTTGTAACGTTGGACAGGTGGACTCTCACCTCACCGTCAATTGTTTGGTTGACTGCTATTTCCATTATTTCTCTTTATAAAGGTTTCAACTCTGATATTTTTCTCAATCATTCCATTTCTCTTTCTCTGCTGCAACTTCAATACATTAATTCATCTCTCTTCTTTCAAAATCTTGGAGGAAGAGAGAAATTCTTTTCGCATACTGGACGTCAGAGAATTCTTTGTTCGTGCTTCGATGGCGAAGGAAATTAGAAGCTTGCATTCTTGGATGGCTGTAGCTCCAGCTCTTATTACGTACCCATTAAAGACTTCAAATTCTCCCAGTTTGGAGACCATCATTGAAGAGGAGAAAGAGGAAGATGATGATGACTCATAATCTTCTCTACATTATGTTTATGTGTGGGAGTTTCTTTGGGTTCTTATTCTCCTGTTTTGCGTCTAGTTTATTTATGTGCTGATATATTTGTATATATTGATTTTGTTAATGTAGATTTGATTTCTCCTGCAAGTAAAATGATTTATTTCATTTTAGAAATTGTACTTGTCATCTTCTTCATATTGCAGTCATCATTCCAAACCCTGCGCCTAACTATATCAAACAAAAACCTTAATTTTTCCATAAATATTTGGACTTATTTCTAACCAACACAGTTACATAAAAATTTGTTGTATACTTTATTTTCAAAATAAAAATCTATGTTATACGGTGATTTCACAAGGCGTGGAGTCTCGACACATGTCCTACGCCTAAGTAATTAGTGCATAAACTCCTGCCATGTATTCTATAACCATGCGGATGCTTGAGCCACGTGTGATATCAAGAAAGGGTGATTTCATTTGTGAGACTGTCCGGGTTTGCTTCAACAGTAAAATTCACAGTTGAGTTGTCATTCTGATTGGGTGGCAGTTTATGAGAGGACTATGTTATTAAATCTTCAATATAACACCTTATGAAAGGACTGTTTTATTATTAAATCTTCAATTAATGTAGCTTGTGAAGCCATCGTATCATGCAATAAGAAGCTTACTTCATGAGCAAGACCACTCATATAATAATATAAATAGGAGTCCCTAACTCCAAATTAAGAATCTAGAATTTCATTTTCTCAATAACTGAAGATCAATTATCTATTTTGAGAGCAAATATTATTTATAAACACATCAATAAAATAATATCTAAATCACTTTAAAAAATGTTTTCATCTATTCTTTTTATGTCTCATGTAGACTCTTTGTGCAAACTCTCCAAAAGGCTCGCATACTTTTGGGTGATGCAAAAAATTGTAACAACAATCTATATTAACCTCAAAACTATATAAAATAACAAAAAATAAATATTTTGAATTGCAATAATGCAATGTTTGATGTTAATTTAGGAGAAGCTATCATACGGTTGATATTGTAATGTTTTCAAATAAGAAATATGTGTAAAATTATTTACATTTGATTCAATAATTATAATCACCTCAATAATGATTAACGAAGAAAGAAAGAAAAAGCATATCTTAAAATATAAAATATCAACTCAAGTCAATGTCAATGATGTAAGCAAAAATCTGTTCACTACATCGACCCTTCATTAACATCTCACACGTGTACACAGTAACACCGGCCGTGTGTGATCAAATAATCAATAATTTATTTCGCGTCTTTCTCAGTTTCCACGTGTCCTTCATCTTTGAAATTACTTTCGTTTCGCTCCATTCATCCTCCTATAAATTCCCACTTCACTCCATTTCTTCTCAAACCACTGAGCACCAGAGATCATCCCTTAATTACCAAATTCCAGGAAAACTTTAAGATTCTCATTTGCCTCGCTTTCTTCTGCATTTGAAAATTAGTCACTGCAATGGCGGAGGAGACTAGATGTTTGAGTATTTGGATGGAAGTTGCACCTGCCCTTCTCATTTCCCCGGCTAGAATTTGCGCTTCTCCGAGCCTGGAGACGATTGAAGAAGAGGAATCTGAGGAATATGATGATTAATGAAGACTTGTAAAGTGGGAACTTTAGATCTCTAAGTGTGTTCTGTCTGTTTTTTTTTACGATGGTTCACGAGGTTCTGTGATAGCTAGATTTTTGATAAAATGTCCCTATCATTTATTTCAATGTTGTTGATCAAGTTCTCTTTGTTCCAATACTATTTGAAACGGAAGGTGAAATTAGAAAGACGCTGTTGTAAATGCAGGAAAACCTCTCAATGGAGTGATACTTACAAATAACTGTAAGTTTGTAATCTCAATAGTTATGAATAAGATTAAATTTTGTGTTGTAATAAATTATAATTTTATAATTTTTATTTTTAGAAAATTGTTTCTACATAATTATTGTATATTACAAAAAAAAAAATTTTATATTACATTAAAAGTTTAAGATAAAATAAAATAGTTATATAAAGTTGTTTAAAACAATAATTTATATTTTAGAGTTGTTACTACGTCTTTTAATTTGTGGGTACGTAATAACTCACTAGATAAATACTTTCTTATTGAAACCAAAATATTTATATCTTCTTAAACATGTTTAGAGTTTTTTGACACTAGACTATTTTATATTTTCATATTATCATTCTCAAGATTATTTTTTTGTCTTATAGTATAATTGCAACAATGACTACTAAAACAATAAATTGCAATTTTAATACATACTACTAAAATTTTAATTATAAAATAAGAAATCAAAACAGTAATTTTTGTAACTATACCTTTATTAAGTTATAATATCTTTATATTAATAAATTAATTTGATTTTACCATTATGATTATAGAGAGATTATATTATATAAAGAAAATTGTATGATACTTATTGACAGAACTAATTAATACAACGATTAATCTAATTTTAAATTAAACAATTACATTCTTAAACAATTGTAGTCTATTTGGCCAATAATTTTATCATTCAAGATGGGGATTAGACTAAAACCCAACCCAACCCACTCACGGTGCTCACTAAGTCAGTCAAGCATTTGAATTTAGCTGTGTTTGACTTATCATATGATCGCTAATGTAATTCTACTTCTGTAATAGTCAAGATCCAGAAATATAATTAATAGGAATGTCACTAAAATTTCTCACTTTAAAATGACCATAAATTTCTGGTTCCAATTATGTCAAATCTTCAACTCCCTGAAGCTCTTGGGCATTCATAATGGCTTTGAATTTCTGTCTGCAGCCCCACTACTTAACCTCAATAATTTTGTTAGTCACACAGCTAAATTGTAAAAGAACCAATAGTTCTAACCACTGCTTCTGGTAATTAAATATTGGTAAGAAATTTGTTACCAAGAATCAAGATTACTTGTATGCCAATTTATAAAATTCCCAATGATGCAATGGAATTTGTATTTATTTATCACTGATATAATTGAATGGTAAAATTTCTCTTTAGTAAGGAATTTATGGACACTTGATTCGTGCTAACTGCTCAAGGTGGAGTGATGTATTTAATAGGCAATTGCAAATCTTAATTCCAAAAATATTTATGATATTCCTATATGTTAAAGGTGAAGAAACGTTGCCCTTTTTGCTTGCACCTTTAGTGACCATTGATTCAAAGAGTAATCCAACGACTTGCATTGTGACACCTGTCCAATCATATAAAAAGACCCCTCTCTCACTTGGCAACTCACTCAAGCATAGAATTTTTACTCTCTCATTTTTGTGCGATTTCTTCTTTTTAAGGGTTCTTTGTTCTCGCGTATGAAATTCTTCTTGATTGTTGTATTTTAGGTTGTGATCAAGTGATCACATATTGGAGGTTTTATTTACTCTTAGGTTAGAAAGTGTCAGGTTGAATATTTCTTTTTTATTAGTCTACATTTATGTATTAAAAGAGTGGTGAGAGTGTTATGACATATGTGGAGAGGATTTGAGTGTTGTATGTGTAAATTGAATAAACGATAAATTTAGTGCAGAGAGCCTCTTAATTGTAGAGCTTAACGTGGATGTAGGTTATCCCTTAAAGGATAGTTGAACTGCGATAAAATTCTTGCTATTGTAGTTTGTTTTTGTGATTGTTTTTGTGATTGATTGTGTGTTTAGATTGTTGTTGATGAATAGATTGATTTAGGCGGATGCATAACAATATAGCTTCTCAGCTTCTCCTTGACATAAGAAAAATCACTTGGCGTTTGTTTATTAGGAACATGAACATCCCAAAAAAGTCCGAATCAAAATACACTTTCAAATTAAGTAGCTCCTAGATGGGAATTACTTCTTTAATGGGTGTCAGGTGTAGAAGAGGGATTTTTTGTTGTAATCCACTTTTTTTTTAAGGAATGGCTTAGTCATTTAATAGTGGTAAATAGTATTCGATATTACTTGTATGCCAATTTATAAAAGATTTCTGGGTTTACAGTAATTCAACAGCTTAAATCATGTAAGTGTTCTTTAAAATTAACCACAAAAAAAAAAAAAAAAAAAGGTTTTCCTAACCATCACTGAAGATCTCATTTAATTGAAGCCACAAGTAAAAAGAGGAGCATCCAGAATGGCAGAATCAAGATGGGAATCTGATCCAGTTCCACTTCAATTTTCACACGCTTTCAATCTAAGATAAACAAACCTAAAAGCCAAACTTGCACTCCAAAAAGTTTAACAATAAAAAATTGAAAGTGTCCCGAAGCCAGACCCCCATCAATAATTGCAGAAATTTGTCTTCACCAATCAGCACCGTCCGTCTCCAACTAAATTTGAGCACGTGTACACAGTTGCAGCAGCCATGTGTTAATCGTTTTGCTTCGTGTATCTGTTTCTGTCAAGTGTCATCCTTATCTTCCACCACATTCCCCACATGGTATTTTAGCGTTAAGTGGGAAAGTAGGTGAGAAGTTTCTTTAATAGCGTTCTGTATCTTGCCTTTCACTCCATTCTTCAATCTTCAATCCTTTATAAAAGCCGAACCATACTCGTTTCTTTCTCAAACCACAACATCTGAAAAGTTGCTGAAAACCTCTCAAGCAAATCCCAGAAAAGCTCTCCCTTTTTTGATATCAACAGGGCTTGTTATACTTGTTGCGATGGCGAAGGCGAAGGCGATCGGATGCTTGAGTTCTTGGATTGAAGTGGCACCTGCCCTTTTCATTTCCCCAACTAGAACTTCCAATTCTCCAAGTTTGGAGACAATTAAAGAGGAGGAAAGTGAGGAATATGATGATTGATGAAGAGTTGTAAAACGGGGAATTTTTGTTTTTGTATTGATCTGTTTGTTGGTTGAGGACTTGATGATGCTTCCAAGTTGATGGAAGTATCTTGTAAATTGTATGTAATATTCCTGTAGTTGAAATCTAACTTTTTAGTATAATGTTCAAGTTTCTTCATTTCAATGTGGGTAATCTCCTTCAATTTTCTGGGTCCATTTAAAATTTTCTAATCTGGGTTCCTTTAGAATTAGCAACAATGAAATGGGGTAATCTTCTACTTTCTGTACATCAAATCTAGGTAGCGGAATGATTCGTCCATCCCTGGTATATCTTTTTAACTTGAAACTGAATCTGAATGGTTGAGAAAAAATGGGAAATAAAGATACAGAAGTTTATAGCCATTAACCAAGCAAAGTGTTTCAGATTTAACACTGCATTGCTCTGGAAAATGGGAATGAGTTGATAGAATTAACCTTTTGATCAATCTAGAAATTGTTTCGATTCAATTGGTAAAGATGTGGATTGAAAAATATCACATGCTAATTGGTCAAGGAAAGAGCGAATTAAAATTCTTTACTTCAAATGCATAAATACTTATAGAATAGAACTTTCTGGATCAGTGTCTCAGTAAAAGATGCGATTTATTGTGAAGTAATATATTATGTATTTGATTAACAAGAACAGAAATGAAGTTTTTTTTTTTTTTTTTTTTTAATGGGATATTTGAGTTAGCTTATACACATTTCAATTAATCTCTAGAATTTTTATAACTATCATTAGGGTGTTTGGGCAAAGTTTACTCATATTTTAACTAATCTTTCGGACCCTAAAATTATCGATTAAATAAGAGTTTCAAAGATTACTCTTATTAGTTTAAAACTATCGATCGAATAAGAACTTAAATGATTATCCTTATTAACAATTGAAGAAAGATTCGAACTCGTGAGCTCTGCTACTTGACTACTAAGAGGTAGTTAACATAAATGATGTTAATGCTATGTAGTCCAAGACTTATGGGTGTGTTTGTTTTATTATTTTGAGTAGTACTTTTGAAAAAGTTGAGTTTGGTTATTATTAAGAAGATAAAATTTGAATTTGAAATTGTGTTTGGTAAGATTATTTTTTAATTTCTTACATTTGTTAATTTAGTTAAACGTCCCTTACAATAAAAGTTTTAAAATTAACAAAAACACTCATACCCACCCATTAAATACTGGCAGCCAACTACCATCGTCGGAGGGTGACTGAAAGTCGCCGGAATGGTGCACGACTGACTAGTTGGGGGTGTTTAGTTAAATTAACAAACCTAGAGGTTAAAAAAATTTAAATATTTTGAGTTGAATAGAATATGATTGAATTTTGAGAATAGTGAAACAAACATATATTTTGAATCAGTAATGCTACGGTCACCAAATTTGTGCACCAAAATTTTTTACTGAACGACATGGCATCCACTAAGACGCAGCCACGTTTGACAAAAAATACTGATTCCGTGAATGGACGACCATCCATCCATATGTTATGGATTACTGTTTATCACAAATGGATGATCGTCCATGACAATATCAGTGGACTCCCGTCCATATAATATGGACGGATGTCAATTTACTATAGATGGGCGATAGACGCCCCTCCAAAAAAGTTTAAAAACAAATAATAGATGGGTGTCTATATATAATGGACGGCTATCCGTGTAAGATGGACGGCCATCCATACCCAAATTTTAGTTTAATAAAAAAATTTCTTTAAATTTTTCAATTAGAATGTTTAAAAATTTAGGGCTCCCAAAACAATTTTTAAAAAACAAAAGCCTTCTGTCGTCGTTCTTCGTCTTCTTCGTCTTTATCTACAGCCGTTCTTCGTCTCCATTTGTTGCTATTCTTCGTCTTTATCATCGATGTCCTGGACTTCGACACTACAT